AACATTTCAGAAACACCAGTATTTTTGTTCTGACCCGACTTCTCGGGCAATAAAAATTCGCAGGCAGCATTTGCTGCATTTTCTATTTGAAAATCACTACGTTCTCGCGTTTAAACATTCTTGCGTGGATAAAATACTACTTTAAACACTTATACAATAAATAACTATTAAATAAAGTAACTATTAATTAAATTCCAGTAGACGATCGTTGTTCTGGTTCTGTGGCAGCAGAAGACACTGAAGACTATATCTTTTTCGAAACTTCCATTTTATTTCTCAAACAGTCATCAACGTAGCCTTCGGCAACTGTACTGGATTTCCACCCTCCATGGCGTTTGAGGGCAAGCAGATTTGAGCCAGAATTGACTAAAATTGTGGCCGATGAACGCCGAAAACAATGTCCCGTGTAACTTTCTGGATTCTCTAGCATCAAAAACTTGGCGATTTCCTTAGCCATGTTTCCAATTTTGTTGATGCCAACGTTTTGGCTTGAACATTTTCCGTTTTGATAGTTTAAAAAACCCTGCCTGTCTTCAGATTAGGAGGACGAAGAACACAGTACAAGATTTTTTAAGATAGTGTAAAGGTTTCCTGTAATTGTAAAACACCTTGGTACCTTTGTTTTTGTATTTCTTCAGTTTAATCAGCATAGCACTGCCGAAATCTTTGGTGTCTTCTATTTTGAGATAACATAATTCCTCCCTTCGACATGCCCCAGATAGTCCAACTGCCACCACCGCCTTGATAAGTAAATATTTGTCATCTGATGCTTTCGTCAAAAACCGGCAAAAATCATCTTCTTTGAGGATTTGGGACTTCTTTGGGACGTAGTTTCCGGATTTTCGTTTGATTAGCGCTTGCAACTTTTTATAGCTTCCAAGATCTGTTGTGATTGGTACTTAACGTTGACTTGAGCATCGAAACAATCATCCACAACGTCGAAGATTTATATTTCTTAGATAGTTCTTCAAAATACACCATTACTGCATTTTCTGAGAAAGTTTGGACATTTTTGGCTAGTCGCCAGTCCATAAATCGGCTTAACTCAGCTTCATACCTGCTTCTGGATTTTGTGGGCAGCAGTTCCGAACATATTTCGCTTGCTTTCTATAAAATCTCTTCAGAATCACACATTTTCACACCCAAACTTCGGGAATTCAACAATTTTTGAAGTATCTAATCAACAAAATAAAGGAGCCGTGACGGTTGCTATGAAACTCAGCCAACTTGAAACATTGCATAATTTGGGTGACAACATCAAACAAAAATCACAATCTGGAGACGCGTATGCAAAGATGACATAACCGTGTGCAAAATGTTTAGCACACGGCGTGTGCAAAATACCGTTTTCAGAGCGTGTTTTCCGTGCACAAAACCCCCTTTTGCAAGGCAGTCGTATAAAAAAGAAATAACACATTTTAAAAAAAAAATTTAAAATCTACTTTATATATATTTACCTTAATATAAGTATTTTAATTTTCTGAAAATAACGCGGAGACACGCCTCTGCCACGGTAAATTGCAACAGTAGTTGCGATAACAGAACATTATTGGTTTATACTTTTCTTGGAATTCTATCACAACAAATATTGTACGGACTGTACTTTAATTATGCAAGCATTGCGAAACATTTCTGATTCTATTTTAAACGAAAGTTGTTGTAAATTCAGGACTGAACCAATTTACTCAACATATACCTGTAAAGAATGGCGTTCAAACGATAGCAACTTCGGAATATATCGAACAAATTTCAAAGGCAAACCGCTCTTGGATAGTAAATTCAAATAACCTTCAATGTAGCTGAGCTTGCCAATTCGAATTTCAGTTTGTACGTTACTACTGTCATCTTTGGGGATTCAGGCTTCAATTTTACATTAAAAAGTAGAAAACTTGATGCCATTTGATTCAATTTCTGTCTGATATCTATCTGATTCGAAAGCTAAAAGGGGAGTACCTTACATTCGCAGTGTGTCGAGAACGAGTTACTCGATAAAACGATTTTATTTGCCGTTTCAATTAACTTGAAGAAAATAACAATGAAAATATATATTTTTTTTACTTTAAAGGTCAAAAGATCAAAATTAAATCTATTCTTTAAAATTTTCATTAAATACCAATATTTGATACTAAATATCTAAATGAACCATATAACTTCAGTTCATATACGAAACCTACTAAATATCATTATTATTACTTTACCCATTACACTGATACTTTGAATATTATTAACATATTCTTCGCTGGACTCTAAATTTTATAAAGCCGATTTTTAATATCTTGGAACAATTTATATTACACTCAGAATCAGTTCTTTACGAATATCACAGAGCTATATTGTCTGTGACGAATATATTAACTTGTTTATTAACATGCAATATTGAAACGCAAACGAGACTCTGATCATTAAAAAACATCGATTGCAACAACAGTAGCTAAAAATAACTAAATAAGAACAGGCCAATCCAGTGATCAAGGCAGCGTGATGCCTATTTTCTAGATAAAAAGAGTATTTTTCTCAAAATAAGAACGTTTGGTCAGATCAAGATATTACTCATTGGATTATCTTCTATTTAAAAAACAAGCTACCACGTAATATATTTCAAATTGATGTTCAAATAATATTCAAATCATTCGATAAAATATGTAATATCATTAGATATAATTATATTCTACAGTGCCTCTCTTGTTAAAATAAATAAACAACAAGCGTAATATCTTTAGGTCAAATTTCAGTTTCAATTTCAAGTTTTTTGGATAATTTTTTAAAATATTTTAATTGTTCCGAGGGCATTCTAATTTTGGTAAATAAAACTTTAGAGTATAATAAAACAACACACCAGATTTCATTAAAATCGGTTTGATAGTTTGATTTGATTTGAAAAAAATTTTCAAATTTTCAAATAAATCATCTAGATACTTAAAAATTTTTTCACATAGAAAAAACCGCTCAACCTTTCATATGGTTTATGAAAAATTGAAATCGGTTGATTAGGACGGCCACAGTAAATTTTTAAAGTGGGGGAGGGGGCTTTCGCTCCGAGACTGAATTCGAAGGTTCAAAATGCGAAGCTACGAAAAAAATTGCATTATATGGGCTTCTAATGGACCAATTTCGATCTTTTTTTTTAATCCATGTCTCGCAAGCTAAGAAATTCGAATATCGTAATGCCAACTGTCTAATTTACACATATTTTGTTATAAACAAAGTTTATTATTTATGCATTAAATATACTGTATATTTTACCCAATGCTATTGCATTTTTTCAATGGAAAAATTTGTTTTCGTATATATTTCAACACTCTAAATATGAATGTATTTAATTATAATTATTACAATTGTTTAAATAATTTTTTTTTTGTTAATTACAGATAAAATTAAGAAAAAATAGTACTTGAAAATTATAATTTGTGAAAAAAACTAAATTGCAAATTGATAAATGTAATCTAATTAAAATGAAAAAAGAGTGTTAATTTTAAAAATTTACTGTGGCCGTCCTAATCAACCCATTTCAATTTTTCAAAAACCATTTGAAAGGACTTTTCTATGTGAAAAAAATTTCAAGTATCTAGATGCTTTATTTGAGGCTGTGCAACATTTCGAAAATTCGAAAAAAAAATTTTTTTTTAATTATTTTGCGAAAACTATCGAACCGATTTTAAGGAAATTTGGTGTGTTGTTTTATTATACTCTAAAGTTATTTTACCAAAATTAGAATGCCATCGGAGCAATTAAAGTATTTGTAAAAATTATCCAAAAAACTTGATTATTTTGCCTTTTCTTTATCATTTATTGCTATTTTGCAACATCGGTAATAAATTTAAACAACATTCAATTCTAAAACTTGTTTCCTCTTCAATATTCTTCCAAAATGCATAGGTTCCAAGATATAAGTAGAAAATTAAATAAAATAGGTATTTTTTTAAATTTTTTAAACATTTTTGTAATTTTGTAAATGTTCCGAACCTCGCCTATATCTAGGGATCTACACTTTTATTATGTCACATCCACCTCAAAACAGATCTGCCCTACCAATTGAGAGCTTCCAACTTCTTACATTTAAAATTTGAACAAAAATGGAAAATTAGGAGAGCTTCATCTGTCAAAAAGGTTGGAGTATATCCAACCAAAATATATATTTGTCTTGTACGTTTCCTTCATAGAATCCACTATTTATCAAAATAATGACACTGATTAAAATGCCGTATAGAATAGATAAGCTCCCAGCTCATTCACTGGCACCATTTCTTAAATTTTTCTACATAACTATTACGAAACTATACAACATACAATATGTAATTTTTAGCAACAGTCTACGAATTCCCGTTCTCTAAAGTTCTTGAATCCACATTTTTCTACAAAATGCAACAAATTCTTCATAGCAATGAGATATACTTTTACAAACAAAAATTAAACAAATCTGACTAAATCTGTTAACATGGCATATTATTAAAAATGAAAACATCATGTGTTAATTATCGATACGTTACGAGGTTAGTGACGATTTAGATAAAACAGAAGAAAATTAAAATTGTCTGTGTTTAATGTAATTAGATCCCAGCATTCATATTTAACAGGGATTTACAGAAAGTAATTACACATCATTCATTCACATTCATTCAAAGAGAAAAGTGATAATCTGAGCACTTCACTTCATTTTCATAAACAGTAATTGTTTTTTATTTAAGGCAAATATTGTAAAAAAAATATTCTGATTCTTTCCACCTTAACTAACTATAACGTATACTTTGTAACTATGACTTTAAAAATATTTAGGTATATGCTAAATGGACCCATTATATAACATATAACATTATCTCTTCATAAGACAACAAACATTTATTCTAGAATTGTTATCTTTTATTCAGAATTCTAGATCTTATTGATAATATACATAACATCGATTACACTTCAACAAAAATTTATCACTAATTACTACAGCTAAAACAACATGTTTAAATGACGGCATTCAGATAAAAATGTTTACGTTAATATTTGAGGACTTTTACCAATATAAGGTAATGACTCTAGTGTTATTCGAGAGCTTGAAAGGACGATATTCCTGAAAGTCTATAAGGTATGTCCAATCCACAAGAATATTGGCTTTTGCTTTTCTGTTTTGTTTCCTTTTAACGGATTCAGGTTTGCAAGGATTTGGATTAGATGAGATTTGAAGTAAAGAGTAGTATTATTAACACGTAATTTTATGCTAGGTATGTTTAAGGGTTTATTCAAATGGATTTGATCGATCCATACAGATAATTTTTCAATAGCTCATTATTTTTTTTATTAATTTCGCCTAAGAAATTGTAAACAAGAATTTCTCAAAGATATAATAAATAAATTTTTCACACTTTGTTGCATCTAAGTATAATCAAAAACTTAAAAACTATACTTTTATCTCTTTTCTTCTGTAAGACATAAATAAAGCTACATTTTCGTAATTGGGTATAACTAAAGTTAGTATAAAAAAAAATTTCTAGTGAGTAAATTAATGAACTTATTTCAATATATGTTACTTCTTCAGAATTGTTGTGTGGAGAATATTTCAAACTAGCAATGAAAAACTTCAATTACAATTTGTGCAAAAGGACTTTGATATAACACCGATATTAGTATACCTTAGATATAGGTAGTGTCGGCATTAATTAGCTTTCGATTAATTTTGCAACATCAATTAAAAGTTTTAATTAAATATTTGCTAGTCAATCAGCACAACTCTTGGGAATTAATGCAAAAGATTAAAGAGAGCACACCACACCTATATGAGAATATACAGGGTGGCCGCTGGGATATCCGAGATTCTATTCACTTTTCCCGAATTCCCAACAGCTCTTGAAATATCGGGAATTGAAGTTCCAGATCGTATGGGTAGTTATTGTCTTTCCGAAGTCAGTTGAACATGTAAAAATGCGCCTGGCAATAAAATTTAATGACTTTCATAGGCATCCCTAAAAAAGTTTTCTGCTGAAGGTAAAAAATTATAATGAGTTGTATATAATGTGTAGAAAATTTCTATTATATATTCATTTGGCCAACAACATATTTTAAATATTTATGTCCTTAAACAATTTTATTATATTGATGATAAATTTCGTTTTGTTCCGTTTCAAAAGGTTTCCAAAATGCCATGTTGTAATAATATTATTTCTCCCTTTCGCAATTGTAATATCAATGATTAATAGAAGGTGTCTATAAAAAATTAAAGTTACCTTAATCACACCAAATTCCGCATTGCTGCACTGCACTGCTGGGCAATTTGTCAACACTTGTCAACAGCTGAGATTTATTGCCCAGTGGCCCAATGCAGCTGCGTTAGATTTCATTTGCTCCCGCTCGCATTCTTCAACTGGGCATATACATTACTACCACCTCCACGTTTAGTTCGACCAGACCTGTATATGGGTATGGTTAAATAAATATGTGAACAAGTTTTTCAAATATTTCAATACCGACGCGACCGAACCTGTCAACGTGTTGGTTTTTCAATTGATATCGGAAAGGAGTAAATTACATTGTTGTAAAGGTCTAGGTAATTTAATAATTAGCGATTTGGCTGGGATTAAAAAAAAATTATTGATTGCAGTTTGTTAATTGCATAAGCTGGTGGTCACATTGAGCAGTTTTAATAATTACACTGGCATTATGATTTTATTAAAATAAACCACATTTTTTTCTAAGCCCTCTAGTCCCATAACGACATGGCAACTTCAAACCTCGATATTTCAAGAACCATTTGGCATACGGGAAAAATAAATAGAATAATTTTAGCCTAAAATTTGTCATAGTATAGTTGGTCAAGTCATTTGTCACTAACATTTTAAAATGATTGCCTTTGAAATTAAGATTATCAACTAAAAAATATGTTATCATTTAAAAGAAAACAATATGTGTCACTGACATCAGCTATCACTATCGTATTTGTTATGTTTTGAAGACAATTAAACTTTGTAGTAATATTTATAAGAGGCAATCCATACTAGTATTTGGGCTGCTAAATAATAAGCACATAAGATAAATATTACAAAATACTTGAAATAAAAAAAGACTCTTCAATTTATATAATTAACTCTTACGAAATGGAATTCCCATTGGACTATATTACAGTAGGTACTTATTATGTCTTTTTTTCTCTATTTAATTTATTTTTTTATATAAGTATTTTGCGTACTGAAAAGCAAAGAATTACTTACTTACTCATAAACAAGAGTCGCGAGTTGATTTTTACACATATTTTTTTGCTTTGCTATTCCGAATCGGATAAAACTGGGTTTATAAAATACAACCCTTTAAGTGATCCTTTTAGCGCATGGGTTATTTAATTAAAAAATTTTAAATATTGTTAATTAAATTTATAATTTAATTCATACTTACCTATTTCTTAGTGTGGTAGAAATATCGATCTGTATCGAGAAAACTAAGCGTTTTCAAACATTCCATTGTGAGACTTCCTTTTTTTGACTACCCAAATTTAAATTTCAAATTTAGCTAATTTATCCTTAAAACAACATCTGCACGGTGATGCAGTCATAATATCATTAATTTTAATCACGTACTTGGAAGGTCTAAGAAAGACAGATAATCTAAAAAAATAATACTCGACCTTTTAAAAAATAAGCAAATTACCCCTTAACTCCCGTTAACTCGGCGCCCTACTTCGCAACGGGGAACGCGCCGGCTGGCGGACCACAAAGTGTTTAAACGTTGAAGCGAAACAGCTGATTTCCCAGTTGTCTTGAACTTTGCAATTGGTTTCAAAATTAAATTAGCAGCGGGTCCCAACTTAACAAAGTGCTATGGACGGATGAGTGAGTGTTTTTTAGCCGTACTATCATTTTAAATCTTTGGAAAGCAATATGTCACAATAAGGTATATGTACTACAAACTGAATAATGAACATAGTACTAAACACACATATAAGACATAGTGAAAATGTTAACAATATTACTCATAAAAGTAAAACCCAACATTCGAAAACAATTATTATCGTTGTACACTTGTTTTTATTAACAAATAAATAATCTTGTTAATATTTAAAATGTATAAAAATATCTTATTCATTCATGTGTCTAGGTAAAGAGGTCTGTTTTTGTCGTTCACTATTAAAAACACAGTAAAAGCTAGGTTAGTGACCGAATACAGTAGGTCAAGATTCACTCTCGATAAACCTTTGTAAAAATATTTTTTCAGCCTAAGTATGCATTTTTTTAATCGCGTATTCGTATTCTACTTATTTTTCCCTATATTCCCTTAAAATTAATGACATAACTGAATCACCCTATATACGAGTGAAAAATCATTTTTGTTATTGCTTCTATTATCTGTTACGTACGTATTGTTTCAGGTCAATCATAAAAATATGCGTTTTTTTACTGTACTAGGACTCCCAATATTGGGTATTTTGGTTACTATTCAACCATCCATAGCTGCCACGTGTACAGTCTCCAAATACGATGAAGATAACATTAAAAACATAGTAAGTGAATGTAAAGACATCACACTAGATAACTTGGACGTACCAGCTGGGGTTACTTTAAACTTGAATTTAAATCCAGGCACAAAACTTACCTTCCAAGGTACAATAACATGGGGTTATCAAGAATGGAACGGACCGCTACTTAATATAACTGGTGAACAGTTAGAAATCACTGGTGCCCCAGACCATGTGATAGATCCAAAAGGAAACATTTGGTGGGATGGTAAAGGAGAACATGGTGGCACAGTAAAGCCAGTATTTTTCGTTTTACACGGGCTGAAAGACTCCGTAATCCACGATTTAAAAATAAAAAATACTCCGTATCATGCCATTTGGATCGAACATAGTGATGGTGTTATCGCGTCTGATGTTTACATTGACAGTAAAGACGGTGACACCATGGGAGGACATAACACAGATGGATTCAACGTATGGACTTCTAATAATGTTACACTCGAACGTATCACAGTTTTTAATCAGGATGACTGCATTGCCATCAAATCTGGCACCAACGTTCTAGTTAGGGACGTCTACTGTTACGGTGGACATGGCCTGTCAATCGGTTCTGTTGGCGGTAGAGATTATAACATTGTGGAGAATGTTCTAGTATCCAATGTTGAGATAGAAAATTCAGATAATGGGGTGAGGATTAAAACCGTATACGGGGCTACTGGATCAGTAACCAATGTTACCTACGAAGACATATTTTTAGTGGGAATAAATAATTATGGTATCATTATTGAAGGTGATTATAATATCGATACTGGTAGTCCTACTGGCGTGGCTACTGACGGTGTTCCTATTAAAGATTTTACATTGAGAAATGTTACTGGCACTGTTAAAGAGTCAGGTGTTAATATCTACGTATTAGTAAAGAGCGCTTCCGACTGGCACTGGTCTGATATTGACGTGACTGGTGGAGAACAGACCAAAGAATGCGAGGGTATTCCTGAAGACAGTGGAATATCTTGTGAATAACCGATTACACTATATCATGTTTTATAAATAATTTGTCCATGGATAAATGTAAATAAATGGTGTTTTGTTTCTTCATGATCATACGTGCTTCTTTAAATAAAAACCATGTAACCAGAAAATACATAGATCTGTTTTAATCAAACTAACTAGATAGAAATGGATATTTTGAATGAAGTTAAAAAAAAAGATTTGTTTTGAAAGTTGTACAACTGTATTGTCCTAATGCAGTATTTTCATTATTATTAATATTTTCAATAATAAAATCACAGGAGAGTCATCATAAATTTAAAAAAAAAATGTTTACCATGCGATAGACAAGATTTTTTATTTAGAATTGTACATATATCTTTGCATTCTCATTTTTCATTTAATTTCGAATGTATTAAAAGATATCTAATCCTGCTCGAATTTGGCAGTTTTTTTTCACACTGTTTGAATAACGGCATCTCATAATTTTCCTCATTCTGTTTTTCTGTATTAAATTCATAGCACTTTAAAATATCGGCCAGTTGTGTGGGTGTACGTTTTCCAAGTTGTTCCTTCTTTCCTTTCAAAATGACATCCAAATAGACGCGTTGCTTTTTTGAATTTTAAAATTTTCATGCAAAGTTACAAACGTTAAGTCAACAAAAATTTAATAAAACAAATCACTCAAATTATTCTCATAATAACCACAGGGTTTCTATAACTTTAAATGTCCCTTAAATTTGTTTAAAATTATTTCAGTTACGAATTCTTGCTATAAAACTACATAATTACTTCTAGAGATGATACTCCTGAAGTTAGAAACACAAATTTCTAAGGTAAGGACAGTGAAACGATTAAGGCGGTAATTTGTTTACCTTCCAGACTGAACTACTAAAAACTAAAGTATAGAAAGTTGTACCCACTTCACAAACCATACTATTGATCATTTTCTGTGCTAATTCTTGGAAATAATATAAATATAAGGGCTAATCTCACCTTATTTGAAATTCGAAACTGTAGTATTTTATAAGAGTTTTTCAATAATTTCAAGATAAAATAGGTAGTATTACATATCCAATATTTTTGGTATGAATCAATGAAGTTTATTTCAATTTTAATATTATAAAAGTTAGATACCAAAGGATATTTTGTGGTAATAAGGCGGAAATTAAAATGTATTGTTTTTCTGTTCCAAATCTTTTATCTTGATATTGCTCACGTTGTTATATACTTAAAAACATAAAATCTATCGCTAATTAATTTGTACCCACTACAAAAATCGTATTAATGACGACATTAAGATAACAGCATTTATATCACTCGAGAACCTTTTCCTGTAAAGAGTTGGAATTTTAGTGTTATTTAGGTAATAGTTTGAAAAGGTCTAATATCTGATAGAGAAGAGGACACGTAAGTTTTTCAAATTTGCTTTACTTGAGTGACATACATAAAGTAGAATGTAGAAACGTATTTAATTCATCGATAATAAATTATAATAAGTTTATGTATACAGAAGTTGGAAAGCTGCATTTTCGTTTTCATAGCTGTCCCGAATTTCAAATTGTTTTTTATAAGGTAGAAATTCATTTCGACATTTTTGATCGACTTCTTTTATTTCTTCTTAATCATTTCTTAATATTTAGTCAAATGTAGGGAGTAATTGGGTTGATTTTTTTGTATAAAATAACAAACTATTACTTTACTTTTATGTGTTTCGTTAATTTTTATGACTATTATGTTCACCGTTTTTTTACTTAAAAGTCGATGATTATAGTTTAAGATTTTGAATATTAATAAGTATGACCGTTGTGTCCTAATTCTTTGTTAGTTATACAGGGTGATTCATTAAGAACGGGTAATTTCTAAACTGGAGATACTACATATCAAAATTTGATGATTGAGCTTAACATGTCTTATACAAATATTGCAGGTTTAGGAGAGACATGGTGTTCAGAGTAGGAATTTTAATTTGAAGTTTCTCAATAATTTTAGAATTTTTAGCAGAATCAACTCGAAAATTGGTAATTCTATTTTTTTTGGTATGAGAATTACGAATTTCATGCTGAATTTGACGCTATTTGTACAGGGCGCTAGTTACACCCTGTTACTTCAGTAAATCAGAACACATTTTTTTGTATAAAGAACTATGGCTAAAGTGAGTTGAAAATCTAAAAGGCAGTTCAGTTTTACAGAGAAACCCTTTAATTCATCTAACTTTATCGGGTTTTATTATTTTAAATTAAAAAAACAAATGTACAGGATAACAACAACAAAGACAATAAATAACAGTAATAATGAGTAACAGTAATAAAAGAAAACTTCAGAAGTATCTAAGTACACTTTTAAAGATCTTTGGATATTAAATAAAATGTGTCGGTTTTTCAATCGTATTCACGGATTCTTGAATTTTTTGTCGCAACTCCTCGATGGAATTAATTTTTTCTTTGTAAACTATTTCCTTCGTTAGTGATCATATTGAGAAGTCTAGAGGGTTTAAATCTGGACTTCTCAGTCAAAACAAATTCACCTCCACGGCCAATCCACCTATGAGGAAAATCTTCATTCATGTACTGGGGCACTGACAGAGGAAAATGTGGTGATGCCCCATCCTGCATAAACTACATGTCTCGTCTTATGGCTAGTGGTATATCTTCTAGGTGTGTGTTTAAATTTTGGGCAAGAAAGTTTAACAATATAGAGGTCCTTTCAGATTAGGAGGGAGTTTGAAAGGATCAACAAAAAAAACAAGATATCACACCACACCAAATTTTACCTTAAATTTATACTGAAAATGTATTTCCCTTAGAGCATGTGAATTCCCACAAATGATGATGTTTTTCCGATTAAAAACTTCTCGTCTAGTAAATGTCGCGTCATCGGTGAAAATCTTGGTTTTCTATTTGTTTATATATTAAAAATTGGGAAAATTGTAAGAGAGCTGGTAAATCTTGAGTTAATAAATTTGAACAGGAGTATAGTGATATGGAGGAAGGTTGTCTTTCTTTAAAATTCTCCAGATAGACGATTGGCTTATCCCTATTGGGTGAGCACTGGGCATATCGTTGCGAAGTACGCTCTATCTGGACTGTAACTTTATCAAAAGGTTTTTTTCTAAAACACTAATCCTATGCCAGTATTTGATCATATCTTTATTTTAAGTAAATACAGTAAATCTATGTAAAAATATACAAGGGGTTCTGTTAAAAATTATCCTCTTAATTCATTATTCAATTCCCGATCCAATTCTTTCTGCAACCCACGCATACAAAATTTAAAAAAATTCAGTAGTTTTTGTTCTCACTTATTTATTCCTACCTCGAAGAAATAGAGAGTTATGTAGGTTCGCCTCCTTTTAACTAGTTCAATAAGTTTGCTGGTAACTGATGTAGACATATTAATATTAAAATAAACATGTTCTTTCGATGCATTTATAGCAGTAATAGTTTATTTAATATTTATCAATCACAAAGTTTAATATTAAATAGTCTCTAAATATGCAAGATTTACCTTTCGTTTTTTTTAATCTAAACTAACTGATTTCAAACTCAATAATTTACATGTAAAAAAAAATAGTTATTTATTATTTTACATAAATAATAAACAATTAAGTAATTTAAATTTAAACCAGTCCTAAACCCAAACTTTCAGATTAGTTTGATATTAAATAAAAATAATTTCCGCAAGCAAGAACAAGTACATATAAAATTATTAACTGGAACATAAATCATGTGAAAATGTATTTTCTTTACATTTATCTCTCTTGTGCATTGATTTTAAAATATTCTGTAGTAAACCATAGTTACAGTGTGCAACAAACTGGCAGTTTATAAGAAAACCGATATCTTTCCACTTATGCTTTATAGGATTTCCGAGAGAAATAATTTCTATGGAAACCCGGTACCAATAATCTTTGAAGTTAATCAATTTAAAACTGAACCACCATATTTATATATCTTTCATCTAACATATTATCTGTTGCTATCATTATTATAGTCTGTTTAGAAATGAAAGAGAGTAATAAAAGCTCATTATGTATGCAAATCGTAAATAAATGTAGTACTGGTGCTTATATTCAATATTGTTATATTATGTTTTATCTATATAGAAGAGGTGTACTTTTAAAAAACTTTTTGCGATCAGACTGTACTAAATTGTAGCAGGTAGCTAAAATTTAATCCCCGACAATCCGTCTTTGTCTATGCCGCTTCAATTTCTCGGTACATTTCTCTTATAAGTAAACAATATAAAAACAGCATTTCAAAACATGAGGCTACTTCAAGCATCATAACCGGCTTAAGAGGGTTTTTGGTAATTCAAATAAAATTATTCAATATTATTATCAAAATATTTATTTAAATTTAGTGAATAGACTTTTATTCCACACAAAAATATATGTATTTTGAAAATTCAAATTATGGTGAGTAAATGTAGTGTTGTATAAATGTACAATAAAGAAAATAAAAAAGTAGGTATATTAAAATTCATCCTCTGAATATTCTGATGAATTATCTTCGTCTCCTAGATTGATAACGATAGGTTCCACAGTAACGTCAATTAAATTATCGAGTTCCCACATTTTCTCCTCTTCTTTTGTACATGATGTATACATCTTTGCCAGTTATCTGCAGTTACTCGTTCCAAGGAATTTTTTAACAAAATTTTCACGTCACTTAATTTAAACGTCGTATTATTTCGCGCTACATTTCCTTTTACCTGCGCCCAGACTAATTCGATTGGGTTAAGTTCACAGTGATAAGGTGCTAACCGTAGTACCGTTATTTGGCGATTTGTTGCCATTTCATCGATAACATATTTTTTCTTCTATTTATCTTTATTAAGATTGACAAGAAGTGTCAAAAGTTCATTTTTCACCATATTTGTTTCAATAGAAATGTTTTTTCCGGATAACCATTGAATTATATCGGCTTTCCTCCAAGCAGTCGTAGGCGTCCGCTCGGTCTGCCGTGAATGGTAACTGGCATTATCCATGACAATTACAGACCCCGGAGGAATAAGATCCAACATCTGTGTAAAATACTCTTCGAAAACATCTGCGTTCATGTCATCGTGATAATCACCTGTATTTTTAGATTCAAATAAAAGTAAACCGCTACAAAACCACTGGCACTACCTATATGTGTCACTATTAATATTCGTCCTTTACCTGAAGGTGCTTTGAACCCTGTTGAAAGTCCATCCAAAAATGCTTGTCGAAAACTTTTTACATTTTTATCTTGCCATACTTTTGTTACAGTATATCCCTCGTTGACCCAAGTTTCGTCTAGATAATAAATATTCCTTCCTTCATCACGGAATTTTCTAATTGATCTTAAGTAGGATCATCGCCAACAAATAATTTCATCTTTATCGATAAGAACTGACTTCCTGTTCTACTTTTCCCAGCAAAAATTCAACTCTCGTAAGACGGCCCATAATTTGCTACTACTGATTTTTGGCAAATCGTTGTCCTCTGAAAGATCACTTAAAATTTTGTTTAGCGTTGGTATTTCTTTTTTAAAATAAAATGAGTGTACTTTAGTCACTAAACACAAGTCGAATTTTACTCTACTGCACTAGCACGTCTTCGTATATTCAGCTCTAAGACTGGATTGATCTGTCACAATACACTGGCTCCTGCCCTATGATGTATCCAGTAAAATATACTAATGTACACCCATTACCTGTTAGCATTAGTGTTACCCGATAATTACCTGAAACGAAATATTAGCACGCCCATGGCCGGTTCTTATCTCGGGGTTTTATTACTCTCTTTCATTTCCAAACAGAGTATAGTGATTATTTATAACTGAATTTAATATGTATTTTTGTATTTTTTTAGATTGATCATTAAACATGCGTTACTTCGTTGGTGTCGTATTCCTGATACTGGATGTGTTAGCTGTTATTAACCCAACTTCGGCCGCTTCCTGTACTATCTCTAAATATAGCGAAAACGATATTCAAGATGCAGTGAAAGACTGCACTGAAATTGTCTTAAACGGCATAAGTGTTCCAGCTGGCACTGCTTTAAATTTAAATTTGAATACAGGCACTAAACTCACTTTCCAAGGTACAATAACTTGGGAATTTTATGAGTGGAATGGTCCATTGCTTAACATTACCGGTGAACAGATAGAAATAACTGGTACTTCAGGCCATGTACTAAATCCGCAAGGAGATTTATGGTGGGATGGTCTAGGAGAACACGGAGGAAAAATTAAACCGGTATTTTTCATCTTACACGGAATGAAAAATTCTGTAATTCACGATATAACTGTAAAAAACACCCCTTACCACGCTATTTGGATTGAAGATAGTGATGGTATTTCCGCGTCTAATATTGTTGTTGATAACAAAGACGGTGACACCAAGGGAGGCCATAACACAGACGGTTTTAATGTGTGGAGATCCAACGCCGTCAAATTAAGTGGTATCACTGTTTATAATCAGGATGACTGCATTGCCATAAAGTCTGGCACCAACGTACAAGTTACAGACACCTACTGTTATGGTGGTCATGGCCTATCAATTGGTTCAGTCGGTGGAAGAGACTATAACATTGTCGAAAATGTTCTGGTATCAGATGTTGAAATAGAAAATTCAGACAATGGAGTGAGAATTAAAACTGTTTACGAGGCTACTGGTTCTGTAACCAATGTCATATATGAAAATATCGTCTTAAAGGACATAAAAAAATTTGGAATTGTCATCGAAGGTGATTACAATATTGAGACTGGTGGTACCACAGGTGTTGCGACTGGCGGTGTTCCGATTACTAAATTTATATTGAAAAATGTTACTGGAACAGTTAAAAAGTCAGGTGTAAACATTTACATTCTAGTTAAAAATGCCGCTGAGTGGGACTGGTCTGGAATCAACGTTACCGGTGGAGAAAAGACAAAAAAATGCGAGGGCATCCCTGAAGGAAGCGGAATATCTTGTTGACACACATTGTATTTTGAAAATATATGATGCTTCATTAAATAAATGATAGATATACATCAATCCTGGTTGCATTTTATTTTCAATGTGATAGAACATACAAAATCTAGTGCTTTGTTCTTTAATGTTCAAGGCAGAATTAACGAAAAATAATTACAGGTTAAAGATAAATTATTTTATTTTACAAATTTATTAATTTTTATAAAAAATATCCTTTAAAAACTATTTTATAAGTTAAAACAATAGTCTTGTAAACAAATTCAAATATTGTTTAGATGAAATATGCTATGATAGATTTAAATTTAGAAACAAATATTAAGATTCATGTAACACAAAACTATAAAATAATTTGAATATTTTTATTACTTTCTAATATTTGTATTTTATTTCAAATTGATCTTAATTGTTTTCACAAAATTAAATATTCATGTTGAATAATTTATGCCTGTAAATTTATTTAAAGTTGCAAAATCACTTATTACTTCATTCCAATTTAATTTAATTGTACTTATATTAAATATTTGAATATAATAAATTTATAAAAAAGAAAAATGTATTAAATATTCATTTATTAAAAACCAATCACAAATGTAGGTTGATATAAAAATATTGGTACTCTGAAGCTACTCTACATATCATTTCATAAAAAACCGTGTATTGCTCATTAGCAAATTAATTCCATTTTTATTGAAAAAAAGGAAAATTTTTTAATTGAAACAGATATCAACTTACATGTATGTACATAGAAGTAAAAATTGTTATGTATTTTAATAAAATTTGTCCAATTAAATCCGCAAAATTAAACAGATAGATATATAAAAATACCGGTGGAGAAAAGTGGAAAAGTGCGATGGTATTCTCGCAGGAAGCGGAATATCCTCTTGAGGCCTGGTGGGTAAATATTTTTTTTTACATATTTCCTTAAATAAATTATAGATCTAGATGAATTCTGGTACATATACTCATGCAAAATGTGATATATTGAATGCATTGTCATTGTCAAGTTGATTCAATTTGCACCAACTTATACAAAGCATTGGATAAGGTACAATGTATTTATCGGTACTAAATTATACAAATTTTTACTAAAAAAGTTTAGTCACTTCATAGTATGAATAGAAAAATATTTCCTTAGCCATGACAGAGTGATGGATAACAGACTTTTCAAGGCGTAGTAGAACGTTCAATAGTGTCTCTTTTTTACTTGTATGTTAAATTTGACTTCAATTCGTTCAGTGTTTTATACTTTATGGTTTTGCAATCAAAAAACAAGTTTTATGAATTTGGATCACCGCGGTATTATCAAATTTTTAACAAAGGAACAAAATAGTCCTAAAAATATTCTCGAAGGAATAATTATTATAGTATGTGAGGAGGAATTTTCATCATATTTTAAAGTAAAAAATTGATCAAAACACTTTCGGGTCACGAATTCGTTAAAGATGACCAAAAAACTGGAGAGGTTTCAGATATAACTATGCAGATGTTTGCAACAAAGCGGAAACAATGGTTCTCGAATATTGCCGCTTGAAACTACCTTTTTTGCTAATGTATTAAATATATCTGAACTTAGCGTTTTAATAATTCTACATGATAAATTAGGCAAGTGGATTCCCAAACTTCTGACTTCTGGATTAAAACTACTTACAATTAGATGCGAATTTCTGAAAATCATTTTAAATTTTTAGATGGAGTTTTTCTTGCAGACAATGATAAGCGATGGGGTTTGGATGCACCACTGAGATCCAGAAACAAAAAACTTTTTTCCGAAGACAATGGAATCCAGAAACATAACTAACTTTCTCGAAAAGTGATTTAAATGAATAAAGAATGAAAATGAAAATAAAGTGATTAAACAGTGTAAGTCACTTTTTAAATTGAGTTACGTACTGAAGGTTTTTTCTTAAAGTTGAAATGTATGAAATGTTAATTATCAATAAATTATTATTATTTTGCATTTACCTATGGCAATTAATATGGGTCATTCCATTTGAAAAAAAAAAAGTTTTTCAATGATTATTAAATGTAGGTCTTTTACTCACAGATGACAACATAAAGTAACTTAGCCCAAGACGAATTGTGAAAACTGGAGGTTTCTAACTCTTACGATTTAGACGCTATCTAGCCTCATTTAGAGAGCTGAAATCGTGATTTTTTTCAAAAATAACTGATTATCTCGAAAACAGTATTAATATTAAACACCATGTACATTTAACAAACTCTACCTAATATTAAGCAAGGAATTCAAAAATGCAATAATATACAGGGTGTTCCATTTGAAATAACAAGGTTATGTAGCGCCCACGCGAAATGCAACACCCTGTAAAGCTAAAAATATTTTCTTTACATGGCCCACATGATTCCAAACAACTTTTATTAAAACCATTTTTTGTAAATTTTACAGTTACAGAGTAACAGAAGCATCCCTCTTAGGTGGAACACCCTGTATCAGGCTAGAAAAATAAACGCTCCACGAAATAAATCCATAACCAAAACTTAATCATTCCCTGGAGGACTCCCCTTCTTGTAGGCGGGTCGGAGGGTAACTTTGAAATAATAAATAGGACTTCCTATTTTTTAATGCAGATTTGAATTCTACGGCTAAAAGTCCCTAGGATTTATATGAAACATTTATTTCGCTTCATGACAGATGGCGCTGTAATAGACGAAATTCAATATTTTTCGATTTCTCCTCCATTTCTCCGTTGCCATTTATTTTACAAAAAAAATTTAAATAACTAAGTTTCAGGTTTTTGCAGTGTTAATAAAACAGTGTGATCAAATTGTTCGTGTGCACTTTCATTTTCAAGTTATAACATAAACTTCGTTTTTTAAATGTAAACCATAGTTAGCTTATGAGCTAGAAAAAATGTCTTTTTTATGTCTTCCAACGATATAATATTTGATATGGTCATTTTGAAAAATGGGAGAACTGCAGCCGTTTTTAACTATGGTTTACATTTTAAAACTTTGTAGTTTATGTTATAACTTGAAAACGAAAGTGCACACGAACAATTTGATCACACCGTCTTATTAAAATCTGAAACTTAAAATTTTTTTGTAAAATAAATAGCAACGTAGCTACACGCATCTGAAGGAATTGGCCGAATTCGGATTTTTCCAAATATCTATAGTCAGCCATGACATTTTTTTCAAAAAATAAAAGTAACATTTAATAAGGATCATAAAACTGCATATCTTTAAGTTTAATATAATTTAAGTTTTTTATATCTCTGCTACTTTCCCAAATCCCCACAATAAACATCGAAAAAAACTCACCCTGTATATGATATATACCTAATATTAATATTTTATAATTATCATTATTACTACTTCAAAACTGTTCACTTTGTAGCAGCGGTTGATGAAAATTAAAGTGGTCATATTGTATTGATAATAAAGCGTGAGATTGATTTCTAGGGAATGATTTCCAAGCCTACAAAGAGAATTTTCATGACAAAAGAATTTGAGAAAGTAAATGAAATTAGGGGTTGCCGACCCTGAGATCTCAAAAAGGGTTGTACATATACAGGGTGGAAAAGTCATTTCAAAAATGAAGGGGAAGTCAAAATAGTTGTGGTACTTCATAAAAAAAATCCTATTGAGCTTCGTTGTGGAGTTATTCGCCTTTAAAGAAAAAAATTTGAAAAACATATTCCAATTATAACTTCTGAATCGTTACCATGACAACAATGAAATTTGGGCAATTAAGGTAACTCATGGTAATGTTCATTTAGAAGTTTAAATTGATACTCAATATGCCTGGATTATATAGGAAACGAAATTATCCATTTAAATTTATACATCATTGACAGCGCTGCCAAATTTGGCATTTTTCTTTCATAGTTTGATTCCTCTCTCACTTTGCTTAAAAAAAAGGTAAATAAGTATGCCGTATATTTAGTCGAAATCTTGTACCGGTTTTGAGAAAATCGAATTTTATTAACAACATGTATTGTATCAAAAATGCGAAATTAATGTTTTTGTAAAAATCTTGGCTTCTTTGGAAGTTGAAATAACTGTCAACAAGTATGTATAATTAGATATTTGTCATAAATCATTTTGACACCATTTGATGAATCATGGATGGAGGATTTTAGCTATGAAGAATTTGCAGAATGTAATGCTTCTGAAGCTGTTCGGATTTACGCCAACCGCTTTCCAAATAGAATTTGCTTATTTGAAGTGAAGTATGGGAATAATTGTGACAACATGACACTTTAAATTTGGATAAATACCTATATATACTGCAAGAACACCTTAATCCGTTATTGGAAGACGTCCCTTTAAATATTTGAAATAACGTGGCTTATCCCGATGGTGCACCACCTCATTTTAGCAGGGCAGTAAGGACTTATTTAAATACCACATTTCCCAATCGATGGTCGAGGTAGTCCTTTTTTTTTCTTTGGGGCCATCTTAAAGGTCTTATTTATCTAACTCCTATAAATAGTAGGGAAGAATTTTAAATCACATAATTACATACGCCGACATCATTAGAAATGATCATCATATGTTATTTTGAGTACAGTAGAGGTGTTTGAGCAATTTCAGAAAATGTATTGAAGTTCAAGGTGCACATATTGAACATCTTTCTTAAAAATTCTCTTTTATATCTTAATTCTATAGATACCAAGATTTTTACAAAAATGTTAGTATTAAATTTTTGATGTACCCATGTTGTTAATAAAATTTACTCAAAAACGGTACAAGATATCCACTGATATACGGTATACCTTTTTTTTTTAACAAAGTGACAGAGGAATTGAACTACAAAACAAAAATGTCAAATTTGGCAAAGCTGTTAAAGACGTATAAATTTAAATGGATAATTTCGTTTGCTCCTGTTTGTTTCATTGTTGTCATGGGAACGATTTAGAAGTTATAATTGGAATTTGTTTTTCAAACTTCTTTGAAGGCGAATAACTCCACAACGAAGCCATATAGGAAAAAAAATTATGAAGTACTACATCTACTTTGACCTCCCCTGTATACCCCTTCATTTTTGACATGACCTTTTCGGACACCCTGTACCTCCAAAATATATACTGTATTTTATAATAATTAACTAATAGGTAAATATATATATAGCTTTTTACATTTATCAAAATTTTATTTTTTCTTAAAGTTACAGCACTGACTTTTGAAAAATAAAATTATTAGTATCAAATTAAAATTTAAATAGATACAATTATAAACTAGTTTAGACAAAAATTAAAAAAATATTTGTTTGAATAATGGTTGATTATAAAAAAAGTATTTTACATAAATATATATGTGCAACTCCTTCAAGATCTCTAAGCAAATTCCCCTAATTTGAAAGCCTAAAACTGTATGGTGTTTTGAATCACTTGCGTTATATTTGTAACAACTTTCCTCTATAGTCAAGTCAAATTTTAATAAAGTTGTTTTTGTGAAGACGTTTTATTTGATTCGCGTGAACCGTTTTTGTGCCATAAAATCTTGGAACGAAAAAACCAAAATCAATAGCAGCAATATATACGATTTAAAAACAAACTAATAAAACGTAGAAATCAAATATTATTAACCATAAAGAAGATGTACAGCGATATATTACGGGTTCGAAGTCGTAACAAAACCCAACTTTATTGATTGGGACTGAAATATTATTAGGTAGGTATGGTAAGTTTTTATATCGTCCAGAAACAAAAAGGATGTTTCTTTTTTTAGAGTATACTAGTCCTTTATTAAACCGCAAGATCAGATTCATTTTGGTAACAGAATGCTTCCAATTTTATTGTTTTCTTTATACAGGGTTTTTCAATTAAATCCTGGAAAACATTGGAATTAAAAAAAAACAAAAAACCTGATACGTGATTTTCTTTTCAAGGAGGACACGTGATGGCGTCAATTTTGGTGTCTTGGAAGCTACTCCTTAGGCAGAGACGTAAAATACCCTTTAACTTTAAATGGCACCCAATGTTGAGTGACACCTCATTTAAAAGCTTTTTCAATTCGACTCACGATGACATACAACTTTTTAAATTTTGATTTGAATATGATAATAAAATCATCACTTAAAGAATAAAACGAAATATCAATGAATGAAAGAATGTTATTTTATTATATATGTTCATATTGGTTTCCCTCCGCTTCCATACAATCATAAAATCTTTGCAGCACTTCCGCACGAACATTTCGAAGCATTTCGGCCGTTATCTGACGACATTCTTCAACAATTCGCCGACGAAGCTCCTCAAGTAAGTTCGGTCGTGTTGTTCGACTTTAAATGTCTCTATAGAAAAACGTCTAAGGGCATTAAATCTGGCGACCTGGGAGGCCACGGAAAGTTCTTATTAAGAAAATCACCATCCTACTGAAACCACACATCCTGGTCTGGCAATACGTTGTCATTTTCCAATACTTCCACAATCATCATAGTGGTTTTCAGTAGATTCAGATATATGTTTCCCTCCAGATTTCCCAGTAGGAATAAAGGCCCTATGTGGTTGTCTCCCAGTATGCCCGCCCAAACATTCCATTTCCTCGGATGCTGCTTATGAGTTTCTTGAAAAATTTTCATCACTCTAGTAGCGGCAATTATGGTGGTTGACTCGACCATCCAGCTCGAACGTACATTCATCGGAAAACCAGATTGAGTACAAAAAATTTAGATTCTTTCGAACACGTTCACTCATTTCTTCGCAGATCTACAAAAGGCGATCAGGATCGTGTTCATTAATTTCTTGTATACCAAATTAATTTTGTATGGGTGATACTTGTTCCTTACTTGCAAGTTTCCTAAGTCTCAAATTTGGTTCCACCCAGGACAGCTACCTTCATTACGTACGACCTGTTCACGTTGAAATTTTCTGTTTGCAACCGATCTAATTTCCGAAAATTTTTGCACTAAATCCAGGACGTATCGATGCGTGATGCATGGTGTTTTTGTCAGGATGACGATTATTAAAAATCTGTGATGTCTGCCGTGCAATCATTACTTTTGTAGAGCAAGAATTATTTCCACTTTTTCAGCAATTGTATAAACCATTTTCACGAATTGGAATTCAATCGACTTTGTGATGATTTTACGGAATATTGTCTCGAGAAGACAAGACAATATTGTCTCGTTTAAAGTAAAACAGGTAAAAAAGTTGAACTGATAGAGTATGAAATTTTTGTATTGACAGATACATTTTTTTTTATCGAGAAATTGTTGAAGAATTTTGTCAGATAACGCTCGAAATGCTTCGGAATGTTCGTTCGAAAGTGAAGCTAAGATGTTATTATTGTATGGAAGCGGAGAAAAACCAATTTGAACATTTAATAAAATAACATTCTTTCATAAGTTGATATTTTGTATTATTCTTTAAGTGATGATTTTATTGCCATGTTGAAAAAAGCACGGAAAAGTGGGAAAATTCATTTTCCAAAAACAAAAAGTAGGAAAAATTGGTATAAAATTCAATTTTATTCTAAGAAAATAAGACATTTTAATAAAACATATATTCGTGATGCCTTCAAATATTAAATTTGTCAAACGTAAGCACAAATGAACAAAAAGGTGAACAAGTAGATACATACTTAACATTTTATTTAAAACAATAAAAATTAATTCATAAAATGTTTCATGACTAAACGACAAAAAAAAACGAAATGTCAGTTGTCTATAACAGAAAACACAATATTCAAAGTATTTTTTGATCTGAGCTTTAGCCAAATTTCGACATAAAATCAAATTAAAAAGTGGGTTCAGAAAAAAACATCATTTTGTAAGTTAACTTAAAATAAGTTTCTGTTTGATCACATGTCTGATGCTTCTAAATCTTCTAATTTCAGAGTAAAATGCTCTTGGCATCCTGAATATAACCAAAATATGTAGAAATTCAGATTTTTGAAGGACAAAAAAGTTTGACATATGTTTACTCCGACGGAACACTGCAACTAGCGCATCCTAGATGTGATTGCAAAATAGTTACCATTTCCGTAATTACCACCTCAGAAAACATACAAACTTTCAAGACAATCCGTTCAAAGGTGCTCAAGATATTTAAAAATTTCGAAAATATTTTTTCAACTTTAACACCCTGTAGATCGAAATGGAGCAATATTCGGATAAGGCTTATTTGGCTTAATCGTTCTATTTTGAGGTCAGCAACATGCCCTTAAGCTCTGTCCCATTATTAATGAATCACCCTGTATAGATGTTGATCTCGAGAAAAAAGAAAATTCTATTTATCTTCTTCTAAAAGCGGAGAGGTGATGTGACAATGTTTTTATTGAAGTACCTAATTTCTAGTTATTTTTATTAAATATACATATATTAACATTTATATAAGAAAAGTGGCGTGGATTGTAATAAAAGTTTAATTTTCCCTAATTTTTTACTTTTAAATAATTTACCATATTTTAAATTTTTCACCATACATTTTTCCGTAAGTTTTAGACCTCTTGGTAGAAACCATTCGGAACGGGTCCCTTGCCGTGTCGGGCCCCTCAGCCTCATGATCGCAAATCAACTAGCCTGGCTTGTCCGACTACGTCGGACACAAAAAATAACTAGAACTTTTATCACTTATTTCATTTCGTCGAAACGGGTAAGTCAATCGAACACTACGTATTATTATTATTTTTTTTTTTTTTCGTAAATATATGATATGAATCAGTTTAACATAGCGCATTTTTTTATAAACGTAATATTTCTTATACTAATGATTTCGCCAATCAAAAATTATTGCCGCAAAAATAATCTTATACCTACCTTAAACCAAGTTCATATACTTATGTACCATTTCTATAGTTCCAAGTTAATTTTTAATATAAACAAATAACAAACATTCTTAAAAATACAAAATATACAATATCTAAATGACAGCAAATAATCATAGGTACTGTGGGTACCTAAACAAATATTTTTAAAATATAGTATACAGCATTGCCAGCTAAATAATTAAATTCAAAAACACGACCATTCTTACCTTGCGCAAAGTTGTCTAACAAGGACGTCTACCCCACAAGATAAATTCCCGAAAACTAACCGGAGTCCGGAGTCTGTAAAAGGGAATCCTGGGACTAGTATGACGGCGCTCCGCCAGAGACGCCTGGACCGGCCAAATCGATTGTTTTCTGTCTTTGTTACTCGGATCATCTATGCTTTTGCATAATATTACAATTTGTTAATAGAGTTATTACAAACATATTTTTTGAACGATCTTGTATAGAAACCACTTTTTCGACAGAAAATATATTTATTTTTTATATATTTTTTATACTTTGGACGCACTTGTCAAACGATTCAAAAACGAAAATTTCGGTTATTTGTTATTAATTATCTAGTTGGCGCTGAAATTCGGATTTCTAAATCAAATTCAAGTATTCTATGTCAATTTTGTGAGGTGTCCGTGTGGCTAAACCATACTACTAAACAATAGATGGCAGGAGATTAGTTTATTATTGTAAAACTCACTTATCACACTAAAACAGGATAATAATGGTGCATTATGGATCATATGTTTTAGTGAACCATTTTGTGATGAAATTATAACCAATGTAAGTGATTTTGTTATATTTTTCCCCCATTGTAATGATTAGAAGTTGTTAGTTTCTGAAACTGGTTTTTAAGAACAGGTTCTGCTTATTTTTGTTTGGTGTGATCGGGATTTTTTAGTCCATGGTTGCTGACTGTAGAGCTGTGTTGCAAAGTTGACAGTGTAATAAAGTTAATGTCGTTTTAGGAAATTCTTAATTATATTAATATTACAAAACACTTTAAAGAAAGAAATATATAAATATGAAGTATAATTTCGGTAGGTTTAATATTCATTGTTATGTGACGGTTTTTACACAAATTAACATCTGTAGTTGGCAAAGTCGTTGATAGTTTTATTTCATTTTGATATCCAATGTCGTATTTTATGCCCATGAAATGGATACTCGTCCTTTGTGTATAAAATAAGTCTCGTAACTTGCGAAAATTGTTGAGTCTATTTAATTTTCTATATTTATTTTTAGCAGTATAATTAAATAAAGCAATTATGCTAAGAAATGTTCTTAAAAACCTTAACAAATTAAATCCGAGCCTACGAAATTTGACATGCATGCATATTATAGATGTTTATTATTTCTTATAAATCCCTACAATTAATAACGTGGCTGTAACGATTTTTAACACAATTGATTTTTGCAAAAATGTCAAGTCTCAAATTGTCAAGTGTGATTAATAAATCTGAGGTATGACTTTTGCAGCCCTGCATAAAAACATAAGAGCAAGTTGAATTACAAGGGAATGAGTGTCACTGGTAAGTGGAGGAGCTTAGAACGCTTCGTCTATGGCAGATCCAGCTAACACACTCGCTGCTGCCAGCACTAGCCGCCGCAAGCGTGTGCTGCCAACGCAGCCACGTTCTGAGGCCAAGCGCCTTCGGACTTCCTCTCAAGAAGATCACAGTCCTGAAAGTAAACCTACGGTTTCCAGGAACACACACAAAGTAAGTTCTGTGCATGCTATATTAAGAAATAAGTTAAAATACCTGTCAACATAATGTATGTACATTATTTATTATACTGAACTGGTAGTTTTACGATAAAGATCAGCTAAAACTTCATATATATTATTTTTAAATGGTTCAGCTATTGAAGTGCTAAACATTTCCTTCTTGATTATAGAGATTCGATATATTTTTATCAAATAATAATTTAGTTTTACTTTAATTCGTCTTGTCTTTTGTAACTACCTTCTTATTGTTTCTGGTATAGATTGTTGAATGTCCTAAGAATTACTTGCAACATGTTACACACATATTCTGCAGTTTTTGGAAAATCAAAGGGTTTTACCACAAAACTAGTTTGCACGTCATGTCCATGTAACAGAATAACATTGATTCAAAGAATCTTAAATATACATTGTTATGGATATATTCTCTCATAAACATAATAAAATTGAATTACATTTTATTTCTCAACATATAATATATATTTTTTAAAGATGTTAATATTTAATACAATTTAAAAATGATTTATTTCACCATAATAATACAGGGTGCCCCACATAGACATCCACAAACTTTAAAGGACATACCTCGGCAAAAATAAGCAAAATGTTTTATAAAAACTAATGGTGGCTTGCGATAATAAAAATGATCATATTTTGTTAATGAAGCATGGAATTTAGATCATTGTTTAGGGAATGATATCTTGGTCCACATAGAGAAGATCCTTGATGAAAAAATTTCAAATGAAATTTGCAAATTAAAAAATAAAGTCGGGGTTGCCAACCCTGAGATGTCGAAAAGGGTTGAGGTATGTTTCATAATCAGCTGGTAGATATGAACAGTTTCGCCATGTAAGCCTAGAAATCATCCCTTAAGAAATGGTATGGGTCTCACTCTTGATTATCAAAATACGACCACGAACCATCACTAATACAAACCTTAATTCAGAAATGTACCATTTCCGGGATATAGGCCTTCAAATGTTTTGGGATATTTTTTAATATTCCAGAAATGCATAATGATAGATATTTAATAAAATTAAATACAATAATTCCCACACTTACAAAACAATGCTAGTAATTCTGCATTTCAATTGTAGATTGTATTGTAGATATAAAGAACCATGCCTTTTCTTATAGCTTAACTTTTACGCATAGGTACAACATTTTCTCAAATATATCTGTAAAATTTTAGTATATTCTTAAACTTTGAATTAATTGCATAACAGTATTTAAAGTTTCTTTTTGTTTTACAATAAAAACTATTTTTATTTTGTTCAATGTATTTTAAAGGTTATCACATTAAACCTGGGCAAAGTTGATATACAAAAATAGCAATAAATAAACATTGAACATAAAAAAATATAGAAACGTAAGTAGTTTAATATTTTCACAGCTTGAATGAAACAAAATTACCGAATACTGTGAAGGTTAGTATTTTTTTTTGGTAAATGCTCTCTATCAGATTACAAACAAAGTTAAGGGAAGTGACGTGAAGGTGTAAAACTTTTTTTTTTTGTTCTAAGTGACTTAAGAAACAAAAATTATGATTGATTTCAATGAGGATTATTGTACATACTTTGAAATGTGTATATTTCAGAACAGGTATGTTATCCTCCTTAATTGCTATAATAAATAAAAGAATCCGTCATCATACACAACTCCCCCTTCTTCCCTCGCTCCTCACTTTCTTTTATTTGAGTAATTAATTATGAATCTGAATAATTTGTGTAGGTACAACTTTTGAACAAAATACACTAGGGATAAGTGTTATCTGAACTAGGAAACAGTGTTACTGCAATACTATTCATTTGCTCTGCTGAGGTGCTTTCATTTTGACCAAGATAGTAGCTAGTTGCAGCTATTGCAACTCGTATAAAACCCTGTGTTTGATTTAATAAATATTCTGCAGTGTTTGTCACTCAAGGTTGCTCCCCCATTTCCTCTGATGCACTTACCTAATTTTTAAGTAATGTTTTGAAACCCCAGAAAATATTTGTGGCTATGTTGTCTTAGTTGTCATCATAAATCGTAGTTGTGTGACTAAAACTCGAAATATATTGACTGTAGAGATTGTTACGAAAAAGTATTATTGTTTTTCGCCTCTTAAACTTAAAATAATTTCAGCATCAGGCCAAAGAGGATATCATGGATGTCACCTCACCAACAACATGCAACCTGACAAAAATATCCGTTTGTTTTGATGAGCGTGTTGCACTTAGCAACTAAAAATTTTTCGCCTAGAAAAACATACTCGGCAAAACGAATGCAGACCTTGTAACACCCTCCCAACACAAACTATTATTATTAACTTATCTGTCACTGATATGGGTTATGTTACTACCATATGATGTCACGTACATATAATTGTTTCAAGAAACAAAATATTTACTTTTATATTGGGAGAATATACTTTTTAACTTAAAATATTTGGTTCTTCAATAAACTGTAAATAAATATTACTCATCCTATATAAATAATATTTAAATAAACCACTGTCATTAAGTGAAGAGAATGTAGATAAAAAGTAGATGTGTAATACTGTTGACTAACTTCCCTTAACTACTCTTTTTCATAAAGAATGTGCAGTTTTTCGTCCAAGTTATTCTAATTTCATTTGAGATTTTGTTAAACCCTTCCATCAAAATTATTAAATTATAATAATTATTAAAATTTTAAATATTAAAAAATTGCTCCAAAGCAGTAGATACATTTCCAGACTAGATTTATATAAGTATGTAAAACATTTTTTATTACTTACATCTAATGAATATTATCTTAATATTTTATTATTGAAAAAGAGTAGTCTTTTTTATCATTTCCATTAAAAAATTGTTTTGTAAATTTATTTGCGTTTTTAAATTCTCCTTGAATAGCATCATATGATTTCATATTTTTATTCACACATCATTGTGACATTATATTTAAATATACAGGGTGTTTCTATTGTAATGAGCAGGATTTGAGCAGTAACATGTTATTTCCAACATTGTAAGTAACATCCATCTTTCAGTCCGAAAATGCTTCCTTTTGGTAAATGTTAATATTATAATGACTATGTTTGCAATGATACAATAAAAACATGTTTTTTTCTTATTTACAATAAAAACTAGTTTTTATATGAAAAATAAAAGTAAGTTTTTATATGAGCACTAATCTATTTTATTAGAAGGATTAAATATATGGTTTACAAAATGAATATGATTTTAACAAATTCATAAATACAAAAAATGTAAATTGTTTTACAGATCTTGCATTGCACACTTTTTTTAACATTCCAAACACGTTGGAGTGCTGCATAATAGTCATTTATAGGCAGTCATTCTCTTCTTTTTAGGAGTACGATATTTACATGTTTTTCGCTTTTCCAATTTGTTGGTACTAATGCCTGAATGCTCGCCATTATCATCTATTTGGATATTGTAGTTTATTATTTGTGAAATTATTTTTTTTAAATCTGAAGGGTGATTGGGAATGTTCAATCTCCTCTCAATGTGTGCTCGAATTAGACTTATAGCTAAATTATATATATAATTGCAGTTATCTTCATTTTGTTTTCCAGGAACAGTATTATAAATAACCCGGGTGTTTGCACAACTTACTTCTATCATATTATAAAAGATACATAGATAGAGGCCACCTTCTCGTTCTTCGGTTTGGGAAATAATTTGCAATCTTCTGGTCAAGAGTATCCACACCGGATTTTGTGGAATTGTAAAAGCTAATTATTTCTGGCTTATTATTTGTCATATCTGTAGATTTTAAGTGGTGCATAGATGATACTAGCAGAACTACTTTTGAGTTTTTAGGAATGCATGACAACAATGTATAGTCATTTGTAAATGCATACATTGTGGAACTGACAGGACAGCTCTTTCTTTGTGAATCTGAAATTGTGGTGGTATCTCATGCTTGTTTTTTTTTTGGAGTCCCAACATAAGTGAGACCTCTCTTTTTTTAGTTCCTTCAGAATTTCCAGAGAAAAAGACCAATTGTTGGCAGTGACATTCCTATTTGAATTGACAATAGGTTTTACTAGTCGGAGAACAGGTTTACCAAATTGTTTATACCATCTATCTTTTCCACTATAGTATATGTAAGCATTATAAAGATATGAATTTTTAGCATCGGCGATGCACATTATTTTTATGCCGTACTTTGCAGGCTTATTGGGTATATACATCCTGAAAGGACATCTACCCCTAAACGCCAATAACATCTCATCTATGCAGGCATCAATACCAATAACATAATTATTTTGTCAATTAGAAATAAATTTCTCAAAGATATAGGATACGGCAGCAGCGGAATTGTTTTCTTTTCTGACTTGCCTAGTATTAGCATCATGAAAGCGTAGAGCCGATAAGAGTGTCTGACCATGCTTCAGAAATATTATTCCTCAAAATATTGATCGTCCTGCAGGATTAGTTGTAAAAAGTGAACATAAATCCTCTTTTCTAGACTTGAATATAGAACATAACATCAGTAAACCTATGAAGGCGTCTATTTCCACGTAATTCGTGTCGTTATAATTTGGTGATTGATTTTCTTTCAGTTTCAGTCGCATAGCTTGTAATTTATGATTTGTATATGTAACTATTGCAGATATAATTATTTCATCGAATAGCAACCTCCATACATTTTCCGATGTACAGTTTCTCGCTAGATTATTTGCTCTTCCTTGCAAAGCAGGTATTTTGTTTCTAATAAGATTATCATTTAAAGTTTTTCTAACATTTGTAGGTTTAAAGCCATCATTTGAAACATCGACCCTTTCCATAATAATGTAAAGGAAAATTGTCATCTGTATCACTTTCCTCTACTAGATGTTCTTTATTTTCTTCACTTTCTCTCGTCACCTGTTGCTGTTTATTTTGACCGATTTGTTGAATTTGTTACTGATTTTCTTCTTCGTCTACGCTATAGTCTATATTGTATCGTATTCATCATTTAGTAAGTTGTCATCTTCAGTATCAGAAAAATCTGAATTCTGATTGA